TGCCCGGCAGCTTTCCCTCCATAAGCGCGACTGCACGATCTACTAGAGCCTTGAAATGGGAGCGCCCCATCACCGCAACTCCGAGTTTCTGCTCTGCCTTCAGCACTAGAAAACGTAGATCCTTGACACCCAAAGGTTTTGCCCGCGGCAGGATGCTCCAACCAATCTCGAAGAGGCCCTTTTGCGCTTCTCCTGCTTGCTCAAGCTCCAATCTCCTTTTCTTCACCAGACCCTTCGCAAGAACCCCGATGTCTGATGTATCAAGGCATGTGGAACGTTTGAAGCTGGTTTTAGCATGGCCGGATGGAACCCCTGCAGCGCATCAAGCTTTTGGTCTGGTTGAGCTTGTTCCAGAAACAGCATACTATCCGAGCTTCCATCTAGCTACATGTTTTTGAGTGTAGGTTAACTTATATGTATCCCCTCTAAGGAACCAACTTTATGACTGAAAAATTCATTTGACGCTGCACTTGGAGACCAAGCCTACCAAGTAACAGCCTCAAATGCTACAAGCAGCCCACAGATTGCAGATTAAGAAGACTATGAAGCACCTGTTCAGACTTCGCAACAATGAAAGGCACTGCTTGATGAGGAAATCGGCTTGTGAGCAGGGTTGATACCAAACAAGGACAAACTACAATCACATCAGCAGAAATACCAAAGAGCGACCTTCCAATCAGCAAAGGCCCCTGGCGTGCCATCCTCTTCCAGCTTTCCGGTCCCACATGCTGGCGAACAACACCAGAAGGTTCCCTTATCCGTACTGCTTGAAAACCTCTATAGGCCTGACTCCAAGCGGATTGACTCCAAGCGGATTGCATCGAAGCGACCCTACTCGTCTAATAGAGGGAGCTGCTTACCCGCAGCTTTATCGAAGATCGCAGTCCAGCCCAACAACCAGTTCCCTGGCCCTGGATACCTGCGTTCAAGTCGGTCAAGAAGCTTAGAGCGGCCGTCATCGGTCATCCCTCTCCAGCGTTCCAAGGTGAGCTGCTGCTTTGCCAGGTGGTCCAGCAGGTCGGAGTCAATCTCAGGATCTACTTCCTGCCAGCTCGTCTTCAAAGCCAGCTCTTTCTCCTGTAGTAGCGAGACAGCAAAGATCAGCACAACAATGTATAACCCGCTCTCGATAACATGGACACTGAGAAAAATCACACAGTTGCTCCTTAATGCTCGAGTACAATTGGTGCTGGACCCTGAACTGCAGGAGGCAGGTCCTCTTGTCCAGGCTCACCTCCTTTGAAGTAGGGCCCGGGTTGCGTTCGACTCCGCCGATAGTGAGTAGCATTGCTGCATGGGAGGACACCACATTCAGATGCTGCATGTGCGACGCTGCCCTTATCCACAAGCAGCCAGCAATTTCCAAACAAAACATGTCAGAAACGTCGTAGAAGCCCAAGTGCTTTACATTTTCGCATGTTCAGAGGAAGGCCACCTGCTTCACGAGCGAACTGCAGATCCAGAGCTGCTATCGAAGTGCCTTACCTATGAGCGATTGGCTCATGGGTGCCGAAGCCCAAACCCCCTTACTTTGGAATCCTTTCCAAGCTGCAGGCGAGAACAGTGAAGCGTTGACTTGCAGTCACTATTGATCCATGTGTCCAATGCACAGCAGAAAGAGCCACAACGCATTCGAGGCATGACAGGGAACTTGCTGCCCCAGATTGAGTATAAGAGCACAATCCATGGTGTCAGATCGCGCCTGGAACGCTCACCTGCCGCTGGTTCCGCTGCGAACGAGGTCCCTCCCAGCTTTCGCAGCTCCTCTTCCAATCTTCTCTCCTCTGCTCTCAAGCGGCGCAGCTCTTGGTCCTCTGCCCAATCTGCAAGAGCATACAGAGCACGTAAATTTCTCGAGGTCTTTCTCAAAGGATCATTGTATCAATGGGAGGGCAGCTATGAGCGTTGCATGAAGTTCAGACCATGTCAACAGCAGGCTCCCCGGCTGCTCTCACCTGCGCGGTCTCGGTCCACTCGAAAGCAACCATTGGACGTGGAGTGCGCTCTGCACGAGTACTTGACGATGCCCCCCTCCTTGCTTCCCCTCAACCCAAACTCTGCAGTAGCGCCGCACGCGTGGCAATGAAAGCTGTGCAAGTCTGCAGTGAAGAAGGGCAGAGGTTGGTTCTGGAGTCTAAACTCGGAGATGCATGCAATACCTGGTGCGTGCTCGAGAAAGAGGCTGATCTTGGTACATTGCAAGGACGGCCGTACTCGCTGAGATTGCTTAGCTCTTTACTGACAGCATGTACAGGGAATGCGCCTCTTATCTTCGAAAGAGGCAGAGGCAAAGTGTGGTACGTCCCTGCAGGGCCAGCAGTCATTATACTTATGGATGAAGCACATTGTTCCTGGTGCAAAGGGAGGCCTGGGGGCAACCTTTTCAAACTGAGCCCATACTAACCTTGGCAGAGTTACGAGCCAGCCGCACGCTGTACCGCAATTTGCGCATCACAAAGAAGACGCTCTTCTTAGTACATACTGCCTTTCACTTTTCTGATAAACGCGAAAGTTGCAGCGCAACGCGTCCCAGCTTCTGCCTGGCCCCTGCTTGACAAGTCAAAACCCTCCACCTAGAAGCACATGCACCAGAAACTCACCTCTTTCTGTAGCTTTGCCAAGCGCTTCCCCAAGGTACTGACTTGCCTTTTTCTTTCCACTCCCAGATGCTTTGCAAGACCCACGCTGTGCTGACGCACCAGCAGTCCATGCCTCTTTCTTCCGACCACTGGACTTCTGGCTTCTTCGTTTCTGAGGGGCATCTTGAAGATCGCACTCAGCGTTCACAGCAGCGATGCGCGCCTCCTGCTGCTCAGCGCTGATGGCAATCCTCTCTCTGTACTCAGCAGCACGTGCATGTCGAGCTGCCTGACAGACCCGGTGATCGGACTTGGACCGGCCATGAGGCCGGCCTCTAGCCATGACGAGACGGTTCAAGGACCAGCTTTCCTGCCCCTACAAGACCAGAGTCATAAAGGATTGAATACTAGTTTGTCTCAACAAACATCTGGATGCGCAGTTCTGACATGTTTGCACCTTTACTGCGTATGCAACTCCCATCAGTGCGCACTCATGAGAAATCAGCGCAACAACCCCTAAAACCACGTCCACCTCCTTCAGACTGAGTTGCTCAGTTGCATTCTTCAAGCTGGTCCAGAAGCGGCTGGGCCAACCTCTGCCTGACACATTGTTCTACACTACGAGTGCATGTAGACGCAACCAGGTAGCTACTTACCTGGTCCACAGCATTCTCAGGAACGCTTTAGAGTGCGCCACCACAGCGTCCAGAATGCCAGTTCCTGCCCAGATTGTTTGCCAACTAAGCTGGAAACCCTAAGCCACACCAATCTGCCCTGCAACTCCTCTAAAGCCCGCCCACTTTTAGCTCTGTCAGTCTACAGCAGGAGGCATCACGCACATGGAAGCCGCTACCCGCTCAGGATATGTGCCAACGAAGAAACCAGCTGGAACATTTCCTACTTGCTGAATCTGTGAATGCTTGTGTCCCCCCATCCGCTCCTCAAAACGCGCGCTTCTGGACGGCAGTGCTGTCCATCAAGTGCAGAGTTCGCCTACAAATTCCGCTGGATGGACGGCATGGACGGCTCGGACAGCAGTCCCCGAGTTCTCAAAAATCCCGATATGGTGAATTCGCGCCCGCAAATTGCGGTCTACATAGACAGCTTGCTGTCCATCAAGTACAGAGTCCATCTACAGATCCCGCTGGATGGCCAGGACGGACAGCTCAGGCAGCAATTTCGCAACTTTTCAGATATCTTACTTCAGCCGGGCACACTAATAGGATAATTGAAGCCTAAGAATTTTTAAATTTTATAAACCGCCACTCCAAAAGGTATCCTACTTGCAATCGTGAAAAACCTCAGGTACAAAACTTATTGACCCGGGTGTAAGTTGCGCTTGCTGAGCGACAGATTGAAAAAGATGATGTCGCGATGACGCGGCTTTAAAAGCGGCGAAACAGGGTTAGGTTCTCGTTAGCAGAGAACCGTAATTCTCGACTAACTGCGAACGTCGAGAATTCGCAATTCTTCAGTTGGTGGACCCACTTCGGAGCTAGGAAAACTGATCGTCACGGTCACGTTTGCAGGAAATGCATATGCACGTCAAAGCATTGACATCAGCAAAGCTTGGAAGTTAGCTGAGCCTGAAGGATTCTTGAGGGACAGGCGCATTGGAAATTTTCAGAAAGTCCATCCGCTGTTGTTTGGTTTCTTGGTATAGATTCTTTCAGAGCGGGCTTTTCTGCAGCTTGAGGGACAATGGCGACTTCTCTGGCTCTGAAATCGAGCGCTGCTCTGTGGTCCTTCTCCGCTGCCAGTGCGACCAAGGCCGCGCCTGCCCCGGCCCCCCATGCCGTCCTTCCTCGCTTTGCCGGCCTCCAGGGGGGCGCCAAGCAGGTGGAGCTGGTGGCAGGAGTGTCGCGGGGCTTCTTTGAGGTGGCCGCGGCGCAGGCAGCTGGCAAGAGGCCGTGCAGCTGCGCAGTGCAGATGGTGGCCGCCACAGCAGCGGAGCCAGCGGTGACTAGGACCTATGACTTTGACACCAAGGTCTTCAACAAGGAGAGGATCAACCTGGCGGGGCATGAGGAGGTGGGATCCGATCCTGTCCGCTGTAGCAAGTTGCCACAATCGTCATGCAAGCACTTGCAAGCACTTGTTAGCAATGTCACCATGACAGGCTGGATGGAAAGGTGCATGACTTGATTTTTCTGGATATTGTGGAAGACACCGCAGGTTGAGGTAGTGTCGGGCAGGCCGTTCTGCGTCTGTTGTGGTAATGGTCTGACGCTTGGTTGTCTGATCATGTTGTGCAGCACATCGTCAGGGGAGGCAGGAGCGTGTTCCCGCTTGTCGCGGAGGCTTTCAAGGGCATCAAGCAGATTGGCGTGCTTGGATGGGGATCACAGGTGGGTGGTGAACCCTAGACTTACCCGGTTGCTGTAGGCACTTCCGCCTGGTGCTATTGTTCTAATTTGACAGGCATTCTAGTTTGTACAATTTGTGATGCTTTTTATGTCGTCTTGGTTTCTTAAGCCACTTTTGTCTTCAATCTTTGCAGGGCCCAGCACAAGCACAGAACCTTCGCGACACACTCGCAGAGATCAACTCTGACATCAAAGTCAGGGTAAGTCACCATAAAGCTCTTCTGCAATGCTGTGCTTTCAGATGCGCATCCTGTTTGCTGGTGGTTTTTGATACTTCTTTCCTGTTCAAAACACCCCTGTAGCGTATATCTTTTCTCAGCACCCGCTATGCTTCTGGGGTGGTAATGGTATTGAATGCAGGCAGCAGTCCACTCTGACCGAAGTTCTTCACCCACCTTCCTCCCCACATCTGCCGCAGTCTTCTGACTTACACTTGTTCTGCAGATTGGTCTGCGAAAGGGCTCCCGCTCTGTGGCTGACGCTCAGGCGATGGGCTTCAAGGAGGAGGACGGCACGCTGGGGGACATCATGGACACCGTGGCCGGCAGCGACCTCCTGCTGCTGCTTATCTCTGATGCTGCACAGGTGCGGCAGCCTTTAAAGATGGATTGTGTGCAATTGGGCTTGGGGAGAACCCAAGCCTTTCTGCGTTGCTGAATTCAAATCTGCGCAATAGGCGTTAATGTATGCCCTGGAGGTGGTGCATAGAGGTGCTGCGGGTACTGGGAACCCTGATGAAACTCCCAAGCTTTAATGCTGACAATCTGCGTTACAGATCTCTGGCACAACGTGCATCTCTCAGTTAAACTAAACTTACATCGAGCCAGGCAGGTCTCCATACGATGGACAGCTTACCGATTTTTCAGAATGAAAGATTAGTTTTGGGAGGGAGGGCCCGCCAGCCGGTCTCGTCACCCGCGGCTACGGTTGGTGCTGATGCGTTGCTGTGCTGCACAGGCGAACAACTACAAGGAGATTCTGGGGGCCATGAAGCCGGGCTCCACCCTGGGGCTGTCGCACGGGTTCCTGCTGGGCCACCTGCAGGCGCAGGGGGACAAGTTCCGGGATGATATCAACGTGGTGGCCGTGTGCCCCAAGGGAATGGGGCCCTCCGTGAGGCGCCTGTACGAGCAGGGCAAGGAGGTGGACGGGGCCGGGATCAATGCCAGCTTCGCGGTGGAGCAGGTGAGGGGGGGGAAACGCGCAGGGCTTTGAGCAGGGGGAATTCGCCACGTTTGTTACAGTGGGCGGGTGGTGCAGCCAAGCTTACATGGGGACTACGTTCGTTCGTACGTTGTGCAGTTTTGACGTTGATGAAGGGGTGATTAGAAGGTCGTTTCGTGACAATGGTCAGGAAAGGTCCTGCCTTTCTTTGAAAATACAGCCATGTCTTTGGTCGAGGGTCGAGGAGTTTCTATAGCAGGCGCAATCACAAATTATGCGGTGTTGGTCTTCACTCACTCGGCAGCCTGCTAGTCACACGTGCTCGTGGCGAGGATGCACTTACGACAGCTGCGCCCTCTTTTTATCATGAGGGTTGCAAAGACAGAGTTGTGCAAGTACGCATTGGTTAAACCCCACAGCAAAAGCAAACGTTACTAAGCTAGAAAGTGAGCTAGAAAGCGTGCTTCGCAGACATGTTTGGTCATAACGTTGTTCGTCGATAGCGCTCCTTCGAGCTTGCCGAGTGTGGCGCTTATTGAACAGACTTTGTTTTTCTGGGCAGGACGTGACTGGCACTGCAACGGAGATTGCGCTGGGTTGGGCGGTGGCGGTGGGGTCCCCTGTGATCTTCCAGACGGACCTGGAGTCGGAGTACCGCAGTGACATCTTTGGCGAGCGGGGCATCCTGCTGGGGGCAGTGCATGGCATTGTGGAGGCGCTTTTCCGGCGCTACACCGCCAACGGCATGGCGCCTGAGGATGCTTTCAAGAACACCGTCGAGTGCATCACCGGAAACCTGTCACAGACCATCTCCAAGCATGTAAGCCTGGACGACAGATCTGTTGCGCCTTAGCGACTCGTGCGGTACTTGCTACGGTGATTATGTGCTCGACCCTTCAAACCTGGATGTGAAGAACCTTTGTGGTAATGCTGCTCAATACTGACCGCTGTAAGCAAGTAAGAGCATCTGGGGAAAGTCACTGTGGCGAAAAGGGAGCCGCCGAGGGGTGAAGGATGGAGTTTGTGGCTACTTGCAGTTTTGTGGGCTACCATGCATTTGTTTGTGGGTTGGACTTGTTACGAATTCACCTTGTGTCAGTGAGGCATGGTATGGGTAGATGCATTTATCGTTTGCAATTCGAAACACACTCTTGAGTCTGTAAGGGCGTCGGGGCTTTTTCGGTCCCATATCAGAGGGTTGTTATCACACTGTCGAGGCAATCAGGATTTGGTGTGCGTGCTCACGTCGGGTGTGCCGCTGTTTTTCAGGGCATCATCTCCGTGTATAACTCTCTGAACGACTCTGGCAAGAAGGAGTTTGAGGCCGCCTACAGCGCCTCGTACCGGCCCGCCCAGGAGATCCTGCTTGAGTGCTATGAGGACGTGCAGTACGGCAACGAGATCAGATCGGTGGTGCTCGCGGGCAACCGCTTCTCGGTGAGCTGCACTGCCATGTGCCTCCGCATGGCCACGCCGTTCTAGTGCACATTATTGTCAGATGCGGGGGAACGGGGAACGGGCAACTTCAATTGATCATTGAAGACATCATCTCCACCACCCGAATGTCTTTCTCTCACCCAAGCCTGTCTGAATGGTTCACCGGTGAGAGATTTGCAGGGCTGCTCAATGCAGTGCGTGACTCCTTGATTCCGAGGCCTTACGTGTCAGAGAGAGAGTTCCGAGAACTTCATTCGCCTTACCATACCCGAGCATCGTCATGACTGGATGCCTGGTGTTTCTCGCAGCCGAAGGAGGGCCTGCCCGCGTTCCCGTTCAAGACCATTGACGACACGTACATGTGGCAAGTAGGCAAGAAGGTGCGCGCCGAGCGCAAGGAGGGGGCCACGGGGCCACTCCACCCCTTCACCGCAGGCGTCTACTGCGCCACCATGATGGCCCAGGTGAGCACCGGAGGAAATTGAGTTTTTGTCTTATCAATGTTCCACCCTGACGTTTGTTATCAGCGGTGGAGTGTAGCTGACGGGTAGAAGCGGTGGAGTGTAGCTGACGGGTAGAAGCGGTGGAGTGTAGCTGACGGGTAGAAGCGGTGGACTGTAGCTGACGGGTAGACGGGTAGAAGCGGTGGAGTGTAGCTGACGGGTAGACTTAGCAGGACGGATTGATATGTGGGAGTTAGGAGTGTGGAGGAAAGTTGCTCTCTGGTCGAGACAGGGGTCGGTCCCGCTTCGCTTCAGATACCAATGGCGACTGGAAGAGCACGTCTCTTCTTCAGTCTGTCTGCATAGCTCAGGTGTCTCTTCTGTGAGCATCAACTTGCTTTTACTCCAAGCTGTTGTTTCCCTTTGAAGCACCTGGTCGTGAACATAGTCTCAACTGCGACCCGCTATCTTTCGTCCCAGATCGAGGTGCTGGCGAAGAAGGGCCACTCGTACTCGGAGATCTGCAACGAGTCCGTGATCGAGGCGGTCGACAGCCTGAACCCGTTCATGCACGCTCGGGGCGTGTCCTTCATGGTCGACAACTGCTCCACCACCGCGCGCCTCGGAGCCAGGAAGTGGGCCCCGCGCTTCGACTACAACCTCATGCAACAGGTGCGCCCCCCGCAACTCTTTTCATTCTCGTATCGAAGCAATCCGGGTCGACTTCTTTCCTCAGCTTGTGCTGCAGCGAACGAGTGTATCCACTTTTAGCCGTAGATTGGGTCCTTGCGTTCTGGAAAAAGCAACTGGTTTCCTTTTGCGAGACAGCAATCAGGCTTACACGTCACCGCTTCTTGAGAGGGAGTTAACCACACACAACACCTACTGCAGACGAAGCCGTATCTCCCCTTCTGCATCGCCTGACCTCATGACAGCGCTCCTGAGACCGTGTGGCCTTGTTCCATCTGACAGGATCGTGGAACACGAAAGTTGGTGCTCGACGTTGACAGAGTCGTGTGCCTTTTTTCGATTGCAGGCGTTCCCCGCTGTGGACCGCGGCGAGCCTATCGACCAGGGGCTGATCGAAGCCCTGAAGTCGGACCCCGTGCACCAGGCTCTGCAGGTGACGTCATCCCTGCGGCCGCCCGTTGACATTGCGGTGACGGCCAACCTGTACGGCGTGCGCAAGGAGCTCAGGGAGTAGGCACTGCGCCAGTCTTTGGAACTTGTTGATTAAATCGCTGCGGTATGCTTGTGGACTTGCACCTCCGGCGACAAATAAGCATCGTGTATGAGTTAGTTGAGTCGCGGTTAGACTGCGACATGGCCTGAAGAGAGCGCTGCCACACGCGCCAAGCTGTTGTGCAAATGCAGAACAGCTGGCATATAGGGACACAGCTGGTGTTGCCCATCAGTCTGGCAGGCAAGCATAGATTGAACTTGTTGTAGTTTACGCATTCAACACAGTCACTGTCGACACACAGGTGGATGAGCTTATGGCAAACCCTGTTTCCTTCGTCCTACACTGCTAAAGGGTGTATCTGGCCTTATGTGGTCCCCAAATCAGGCGAGCTTCAGTTTGACTGGGATGCATTTGATGACTATACAACACATAGCTGCAATGAAGAGCCTTTGTGACGGTACACACTGCACGTGGTCCATTACTGAAAGCTGCTTGCGGCAATGCTCACTGGTCGGATCTCGACCATGTCTAGCACTTACAAGGGCGCCTTATTCTCCCCGGCAGGCTCCATCAAGTAATACAACTATTGCATGCTAATGAAAAGTCGCGTAGAATTGCAAACTTGACCCGGTGAGCCGGCATGCTTGTGAACATTCCCGTAGTACGTGGGGTATACCCGTATGTGCCTGCATATATAGAGGCTATATATGTAGGATCATCATCTGGCATGCATGACTTAATGTTTACGAATTCAGGTGTCAGAATGCGACATGCATGCGCAATATTTTGTGTGAGCCGGCATGATTAATCTGTATAATATAACTTGTGCCTTGGAATTGTCACAGATCGAGTCGTGTACCACAATCCAAGCGGTGTTTAGCATTGCTCCTTGCGAAAATGAGTCATTTTATCACGGTACTTGGCCCCCCACACCTTGCACAGCATATAGGTGTATTCGAATGTTGATATTGAGTACGGACTATGGGTGTGGGAGTTTTTCCACGAAAGAGCATTTGGATGGCTAAGTTCCTCCAACCATTTGCCAAAAAAGGGTTTCTCACCCCCTTCTCAGTGCGCGGAAATCCAGCCTCATGCAGTAGTACCAGGTCGTTACTTGGCAAGTACGATTCCTCCAGCTTCTGAATTGGCCATGTGAAAATGTGGGGACGATGTCGAGATGCCATCACCTGGCCCACGAAAAAGGCAAGCTACAAAAAGCTCTCAACTAATCATCGTCGCTGTCATCGTCGTCCCCTGCATCGTAGCTGTATTGGGGGGGCGCTTTCTCCCCCACTCTCCTTGTTCTATGGGGCAGGATCAGGTTCGGGTCCACTTCATCACCTGATGGAACGTGCAAAACAGCTCAGGTTCAGACAACCTTAAGATAAGCTGAAACAAGGTATACAAAGCGAACTACCTGGTCACCAACTACCTCTAAATCTTTGTCTGCGGTATCGGTTTACCTTTTTGACAAAAGCTCTGAATCTCTAATGGCAGTCTAACATCAGTTCCAAATCTCTTTGGGCTTGGTAAATGTGCAAAACCAGGACTCTGCCATCACTACCGTTTATGACAGCTTTCTGAACAGGAAGGTTGATTCTTGCATCCCACACTCTGTCAAACTTGTTCGGATGAAGGACAGACGCTCTCATGGGCGATATGGGGTGCACTACCCTCGAGCTCCGGTCCAATGACAAACTGTTCACCGCACTTTTTGGTCAATTGCAAAGCCTTTTAGCGACTCGTCAGAGGGTTACTCTTACATAAGCGGAAGGCGGTACCAAAAGCTCCTCACGTTCCAAGGATGCAAACTCGACTGATGCAGATCAATTGCCTTTGAATGCACTTGACCTGGCACTGATGAAAGCTGGGAGTGAAGTGACTGTTGTTGGAGCGATTCAATGGGCAATCCGAATCATGAACTCAGAACTAACAAAGCCGTCCCACTTGCCTGACAGTCCCGCAACTTCCTCCACCTCCTCCTCTTCGTTCTCTTCTGAAGATTTGCTCTTTTTGGATGGGCGATGAGAAGACCCGCTTCCAGACCCCCCACCCTTCCTGGGTGCTTCTTCCTCTTCTTCCTGTGAACGCATAGGACCCCAGGCGATTCAACGCTGAGGCTCATGTGTATGGAGTGGCCAAAAGAAGGCACAGGCACCTCAACATACCCAAAAGACATCAGAACCAAACAGACCATGTACGAGCCCACTCGACAACTGCCAGTCTATCTGATGCATGCCATCATGAGATCTTTGTAAGAATTGAAGAGCTTGAAGCAAAGCTTGGGGGTAAAACAAGCATTCAAACAGTTGCAATTTTCTTTCAAACGACGAGACTTTGGAGCCTTTTGGACCCAAGGACACCCAGACTGTCAGCAGAAGGACAAGTAAGCCATGTATGCATGGACCCAGATAGTCACAACAAACACATCTTTGCTGGAAACTGGAACATAATGAGCACTTCCGGAACCTGAACGTGTTTGATACATTATTGTTGGAGACCACAGTTTTGCAGATCATCAATCATGCATGAATTTCAAAGGGGGCTATGCGGCAGAGCTTAAGGGTACTCAAGCAGACACGTTGCCCACCTCAAGCTGGCTGCAAGCTTTGAAATTCTGCCCATGCTTTTGCAGCATTGCTAACTGCCTCGAGGTGCATCAGCCAGATTCAAGATTGCAAGATCACATTGTACACTGAGCTACATTGACATCGAAAGGCCTGGTCCGCAGCGTTCACTTGCGCACTTATCCGACAGCCCCAGACCATCGCACACACATGGCACAGTGTACTTAGCAATCAAAGCGAGCGCAGACCAGAAAAGCAGCAAACAAGTCAACAAAAAGCAAAGCTGATCTAGGAAGTATGTTCCTCAGGCCATGACCAAAAGAATACCTCGTCGTCTTCGTCCTCGTCCTCGTCTCCTTCCTCCTCCTCACCCCCTTCTAGGACTTCCTCCCCCTCATCGTCGTCGTCCTCCTCCTCTTCCTCCTCTTCTTCTACCTTCCTCTTTCCTTTTGCATCATCTGACTTCTTGGAGGACATGCTGGCGACGCGGCGACCCTGAGGCGATAGTCTTCACAATTTTGCACCACCCCGCAATCAAAGACCTAAGTTGCGGTATGCTGAACCAAAGAAGAACTGTCGCTATTCCACCCGTTTGGCTTTCTCAGGTGCACCCTGAGATTGAACGCCCCTTCAATAATACCAGCAAACGTCGTCAGATACTGAGATATGGTGGTTGAATGTGTGCAGTGCATGGTGGCAGTGCCGCACCCACCTGACCCCGAGGAAATTTGCTAGAGCTGTAGCTCGAGTCAGCCCTCCGATACCTAATACCTACTACGAAGACCCCTCGGCGAAGCCCGGGGCCCGCGTCGAAGCAATGGTGCGCGGACAAACAAGCCTGCTTTCCAAACGGTCAATCCATGACTTGCGAGATGGAGATTAGAGTAGGTCGCAGGCAGCTGCTGGGGGCCTCTATTGGCATTCTAATCATTTTCATCTACTCCGCTGCTCTTCAGCTTCATTGGAGGGACCACCACATTTCGACAGTGGCTGGTGTTGACACTGACTCAACGGCACAGGACAGATTCTTGGGGTATTCTTTCAGCACTGACCCCCGTGTACGACCACAATTGAAGAGCGGGCCATTACTGAAGGAGATTGAGGCTATACTGTTGAAAGTGGACCCAGAGTTTCAGGAGCACTGTAGAAGCATTTTTACAGGAAAGCCAAAGTCCTTCTCGCAAATCTATCAAGACTGGTTCCTGTACCATAATTTTTTCTTGCACATTCCTTTTGGTGAAGGATTCTACATCGACATTGGTGCGAATGATGCGTTCGCCCATTCAAACACGCTTTTCTTCGACAAGTGCTTGGGGTGGGGGGGTTTGTGCTGGGAGCCAAATCCAGATAAGGCTCTGCTGTTTACAAATCGCTCTTGTACGCTTGTTCCTCATTGCGTGCATGTAAAGGACAATGTAGACGTTGGCTTTGTTGTTGGTGCTTCAGATCAGGATGCACACATGGTGCAACTCGGAGCAAACAGCTCAGAGACAATCACCGTGAGGTGCAGGCAACTAGACGCCGTTCTGAGAGAGCACGGCGTCTCAAGGATAGACTTTATCTCATTGGATGTCGAGGGGGCTGAGCTTCATGCAGTGAGGTGAGGCATGAAAACCATCAATTCACAGTAATACCAATCATCTCTCTTCACATTTCATTTTGCAGAATGGGGACTTTTGACCCATGAGTAGCTCCGTACCTATCATGATTCCAAGCCTGTTTCTTGGCTTGGTGCTGTGAGAGATTTACGCATCATGAGGAGCGCTTCTCTTCCAGGTGCCACCACTGCCGCTTGGTGCATCAGCTCGCTCTAGTTGACAACCTGATCATGGTGGCTCTGCATATGTTTTCAGTTGAAGTAACATAGGAAGTTTGCCTCCTTCAACTGCTTACTGCAAAACCTTCGGCAGAGTATCATACAATTTCAAAGACAAGAAGACCGCAGACGAGTCTCGATTGTCCAGGTGGCTGTTGAGTTGTAGCCACTGGCCTTTCATGCATCAGCTGGATTTGATACTTTCTGATCCTCTTCTGTCAATACGCATTTTTCGGACCTGGTCGTTGGTGCTGAGTGTTCATGCAATCTTCCTGGAGTTGCCATCAAATTTTTAGAGCTCGGACATTTCAATGCAGACGAGACCTTCAAGTTTTGGCCAGTACTAGTGCAACAAAGAACCCATCTACATTGCAAAGATTCACAAAGCTTGACTGCAAAACGAACTTTGCTTTTCTTCTTCGGAGCAAAGTCCATCGCTAGAGGGCACTCACCTCGTTTCTTGTGTTGCAGGTGTTTTCCATTTGATGAGTGGAACGTGCAAGCATGGGTTGTGGAGACGGCCAGACATGATCGATTCATTGACTACATTTTCCTTCGAGCACAGTGAGCCGGGTTTTTCCATATGGAGCTGCTCATTCCTTCTCAAGTCTGATGAACCATTGATCCAGAAGCAAAATGAAGAATGCAGAGAATATGCGAATCTCAAGCACTATATTTTGCCCAGATACCTATTGCTCCTTGATGGCTTTACGGAGTAAACAGTAATACCTTGTCATAACATTTCTACCCATAAGTCAAGCACCTTTTCAGGTATTCCAAAGTTGCAGAACTTCTTTATCGCAACCACTTCTTCCGACACGCGGGCCGGTAAGCTCGGTCCTCCTTGTTCAACTGACTCGTATACATGTACTTTGTGCTTACTAGAAAGTCGGATGGACCCCGTATAATGGGAGCTGGATGCTTGAAGTTGTTTTTTGGACAGTCCTGATACAGCTACCATGACTGCCTGTGTACCACGCACTTGATAATCATTGAGACGATGGGGGAGCATCGTACACCTGAAACCATTGAAATTCTGAGTGGGACCGAAAAGTGCCAGCCCCGAGTCTATCCACCTCACAAAATTGATTCTACAGGAGCCTGCTCTTACTTCGTGGCGCTTTCTGCACAGGATGGTTGACTCGGTGTACGTCCGCAATGCTCAGATCATGAAGTATCCTTCATTGGATGGTCCTCGATCTTTCAAAAAGTGGCGTAGGGAGTTGGATCAGGATTGTTCTGATGAGGATCGCAAGTGGAACAATTGTGATTCCACAACTGGCTTGCCTATCTTTGAACTTCGGGAAATAGATGAAACAAATGGAGAACCAAAACAATGGTGCCAAGCTCAATAATGACGCTTTTCTTCTTCCAAATCAATGAGCGAAAGTCCCAAGGCTGATCTATATAAGACTTGCACTTGAAGGTAGTGACCGGAGTAGATTGAGGGCCGGGGGAGCCTATACGCACATGAAGAACTATCCAAGTAGACACAAAGACTAGAGAGCAGCATAAGCTGAACTCGAGTGTAAAGAAATCCAGCCTTCGTGCTAACACGTGATTCTTCTCGAAACGACGGTTCCAGATGATATGTTTTGCCTTCCGGCATGTTTTCAAAATGAATACTGGAGAAGTTTTGCATGCAACAAAGCAGGGACGATAGGGAGGAGGTTGAGTTGACAATTAAGGAAGCTGACAGCCTTTCTTTATTGCGTACTCTTCCTCGTTTGGAGCATGCTAGGTAGTGATAACAAACAAATGCATTTGTTGATTGCAACCAGTGTATTGGCATATATGCATTTGCGTTGATTCTATCTGGCACACGCCTTTGGTTCAACTATGCAGATTTTATTCAATGTATGACTTATCTCATGATGGGGCTCGGCCAAGACAAATTAAACGGAACAAAACCCGAAAAACTTTACGCTTAGTGAAGCAGGATGAAGAGCATGAACCATGCCTGCAATTGGAGTAATTGAGACGATGCATCTTCAAACGATTTTCCCTTTCGCAGGAGCTTCTGATCTGGGGTGCTCCTTCAATAATCAGGATCTTGGTGCCCGGAGGATATAGCATACATTATACAGCTCGGGGAGGAGAACACCAGAGAGGTATCGACACTCACGAGTCATCCACCTGCAAAGAGTCTCTGAGAGCTTGGCCAGCGCGGCCAGAACGTTTAGGAATGTCTTCAGCAGAGATCCTCGGAATAAAGTCTTTCTGACAGTCCAAATGCAAGGAAGTCTTGATTTCTGGCCCAGTGACCCCAAGCTGTGTTTTGTCTTTCTCAAGGGTTCTCGAGCCGGATAGAGGATCAAATGCAGCTTTGCAATCGGCCAGATTGCTGCATTGAAACTGCATGTCACTGTAGAGTCGCTTTTTGAAGAGTGACTCATCCGAGTTGTTATTATTATTTTATGGACATTGTTTCGGAGCCGTGCTCGGCTAAGTCGGCGATTGTCCCATAACATGCTAGCTCTTCTCCAAAGCTAGATGCGAGAATGCACCAACTGCATACCTGTCCTGTAAAATTAAAGAATAAAAAGCTTTAAACTCCTTATCTGATCGCAGTAACGCTATACAGGGCCCCAAATATTTACCCATTGGCCTGCTTGAACTAATAAAGCGCCGAAAATTGTGGAGAAGTTGTAGACAAGCCTGAGCAGCCCCGGGCCCGAGCAGCCTGCATACCTACGTACCGGTAGTCTGATACCTAGTATGCGCATGGACATATTGAACCACCACCCGCACTTCCGATAATCGGGCAAATTGGTCAAACCGGCCGGGTCGGCAATCTTGCCAACGGTCACCCAAATCACAAAATATGGTCCGAGGGCGCACGATTCTGCTACCCGGAAATAGCCTAGCCTTATAGTTGGTGAAAACAACTGCATTTCGTCACCGATTTCGGCGGTTCAATTCTTTTAATAGGCTGGAAACAGGGTTTCAAGAATCATCGAATCGAAACCGCGATTGAAAACGATGCGGAAAGCCAGATTCTGCGTGCAATATAGTAGCTACTCGTATGCTTGCGCCATTGCAAAACTTCAAGTTGCAGAACATGATTAGGGTACCATGGTCACTTCGTTTTATACACGCTTAGGCACCTGGACCCATGGCGCAGAAACAAGCAATTTCGGAGTTCGGGCTTCATCAAAACAAGATGAGCAATAATCAACAATAAATGCTTCTATACTAGTTACCAAGCAGTTTAATACTAACAACAAAGCAACATGGCTAACATGACATGCTACCTCAGCATGGCGTAACTACCGGGTATAAAAGTCACATAGCAACACCAATCGGAGGCAACGGGTTTATCAAAAGTGTCTCCAATTAAATGCTAGGTTCTACGGCAAGCTAATCTCCCTTCTTCTCCCCGCCTTGTTCGCCTGCGGCAAGTTCTGGAGCAGCAGCTGGAGCGCGGCCTGCATAACGGGAGCAGGCGCTGCGGACGCCAAGGCAAGTGCCGCGGCTGCGCGCCCCCCATCTAGCGCCGCATGCCCCGTGGCGGCAGTAGCCGCCTGGACCGCCCGAGTTGCGGAGGTTCCAACCCCCGCCCCAAATGTGTTCGCTTCAGCGGCGAACTTAACCGCTCCCCCCGCCTCTCGACTGCGCTAAGCTCAACCTCTCGACAACGAGTCCAAGACGAGCTAGCTTCTCCGCATAGTCTCCAAGAAAACGCTCCCCAGCGCAGAGGCTTCCCACGTCGGAGAAACACATGGCCCACGTTTTGAGCGGCAAACCAACGCGCGACATCGGCCGGCAGTGCTGCTTGAGCACTTCAAGGACGGCACTCGCAATGCCAGCCTCCATCATGACATCCTTGACGTCACGTTGGACATTCGGGAGAGGGCGGCCGACTGGGGTGCTCTTGACAATCAACATGAGCTCAGGGTGCCGTGCAGTATCGTCTCCTCTGCCGGCTGGCATCGGGAACGGCCACGTGGCCTAATGCTACCCGTCTATCCCTGCCGGCACAGACTATGCATGGCCTACTCGACCTTTGACTCCTCG